ACATAGAGCCTTGGATGAATATGCGGGCCGTATAGGTGCCGAGAGGTAGAACTGGTTGTGCGCTAGCCATACGAAGCGATAGTCGAAAGAGCGGTGCGGTCAATTTGCGTAGAGAGCGGCAGAGCTCGGTGGCTATAACAGAAACGGCAGCAACTGTGTCGATGAGGGCAAAGGTAGAAACACCATCGACAGATATGGTGACGACGTTATCAGGTGAAGTGCGAGGGCTTGGGCATTTCAACAAGGGCGCAGTTCTTGCCTCTGGAACTGTGGCGTTCAGTTTTCCCGGTTGGAGAAAGCGTGTCGGCGACGCATTGGTGGCCGTTATCGCCTGCGAGGAGACGGAAAGCGGGGAGATTGAGTCTGAGATGGTGGCTGGGGTGACTGAGACTCGGGAAGGTTAGTGTAGCCATAATGCGGTGAGGGATAGGGAGCAGGTAGGTGCATGGGCTGTAGGTCATACGGGAACGGCCGTGTAGTGTCGTGGATTGTTTGAAAGTGACGGCGACAATATCGTACCACGCGTCCTGGAGTACCGCAGGTGTAGCAGATTGGTCGATTGTCAGGAGTGCGCCAGGAATTTCTGACTCGCGGTGCGGTCCAAGGTGTCGAAAGAGGGGCGAAGTGGGGAGCAAGTTAAGACATGGGTGGCAAAGGCTGCTGGCGGGGTCTGCTGCGTCCCACCTGGGCATACGTAAGAGGCGTGGCTGCGGGCTGCATAGCAGGCACATAGGGAACAGGCGTGGCCACAGGCTGCTGGTGGGCAGCAACGGGAACAGCCTGAGCTACCTCTTCGGCAATGACGTCGCGGAGCGGGGAGGGCAGACGAGAGGATGGTGACTGCTGCATGAAGGAAATCAACGATCGTTGCCGAGCTACTTCTTCACGCACAAAGCTTTAACCTCTTGCAGGGTCGGTGAGTGATCGTGAACAGAAGTAAGACAGGAGAGCGAGTCGGCATGTGAGGGAAATGGCTGAGTCCGGGCGCACTGCTTCCTCAACTCGTCAAAACTTTGGCATAACGTGACAAGTTCCGCAACGGTGGCAAGATTACGGGCCAGGAGCATCTGAAAAGCACCGTCATTTATCTCTTTGAGGATGTGCTAAATCTTCTCAGACTCAGGCATGGCGGTGTTCACACGGTTTCAAAGATCAACAATGTCTTCGATGTAACCAGTGAACGATTCCGATGGCTTCTGTGTGCGAGTCCGCAAGCGTTGTTCGGCCCTGTACTTGCCGACAGCGGGTCGGGCAAAAACGTCAGCAAACGACGTTTTGACGATGAACCACGTCAGAATGCCGTTTTCGTAGTTGTTATACCACGTTTCGGCAACGTCAGAGAGGTCAACTTGTCCGCGTCATCCCACTTGTTGTTTGCGCTCACCAGTTCGTAGTGGGTGAACCAGTCTTCCACGTCGGTCTCATCAGCTCCGCTAAAGACATTGGGCTCTCGCAAGCGAAGAACTCCGGGAAGAACTCCGGAGTGGAAGAACCAGGTTGCAGTTGTTGGTGGCCATGATGGGAGGTAGCGTTTGGTTGTGCAGCTCCAGGTTTAGGCGACGGTGAATGGCAGCACCCAGGTTCAGGCGACTGGGAATGTCAGCAACCTCTACCAATTAAAGAGAGGCTTAATGGCATGTGTTGCGACGGCGGCTCTACGATGAAAAAACAATCGGGACAGAGCAACGTTCAGGCAGATGCCGGTGATGATCAGCACGAGGCGAGCGAGAAGATCCCAGAACCCAATACCGAATCGATGGCGATGCTGCTTGCCAACGATGCGTTTTCTTCTTCATAAGAGACAAAATTTTAGCAATATCTTCTATCCAACCTTCACGCAAATTTTTGCCGATGGACTTCTTTCTTTCGCGAAAAATGGTCACGAGCAGTTGCCGCAGCTACAACGCATTAATTTTCAATGCCATACAAGCACTAAGAAGACGGAGTGTTTATTCACAAGATGACGCCGTAGACTGAAAGAAACATTTTTCTCGAATCACAAGTCATCTTATAAGGCGCCCGTAACACGATTTTAAAGCAATCGAACATCACAAATAACGATGCTAAGCATAACTGCTCTCTTCACACAATTTAACACATGCAATTCATTCGAACTACGCGTACCAGTGCAAAGAAAAGCTTACGACGCCAGCGGTGATTCACTTTCTCACTTCTAAAAAATGATTTTCTCGTAAACAAACTGCGCAGCATCTCAAATAGCTGTTTTCTATTGTGAAGTAATCCATGAATATCATGCGCGAAGTGAAGAGCACGAAAATACTGTAGGCACTGATCTGTACAATGCGACAAATGTTCGCTTAAGGCTTGAGTGACGAGTACAATACGCACTTTGCAAAATAATGAAGGCGTACTTACGAAGCAGAAACCAAGCAGAGAGGCAGACGAAACAGGCGAAGACCACGACGCACGTCGAGCATGTTATCGCTCATCTTTTATCGTGTTGTCCTGCTGCTGTCCGAGCTTCTTCATTGGCTTAGATGCTCACGGACACGGAACGTGATAATGTTGCCGTTGTTCGACGCCATGCTGCACTTCTGTCATTTCTGTCACACCCGATTCATGCCTGACCATGCCCTACAATATCGAACCGTCTAATCGCGGATGATAAAGACGAATTCAGGGCTGCACTGCTACCGATTGAAAGCCACGTCTGCAGCCACATACACAAGAAAATGTATGGTGCACTAGAAAAGGTACTACAGTACATAACTGCAACGTGCGTTTTCTTAAGAGAGGGAGTGATGTATTGTCCTCTAACGGCCAACATGAAGCTGCGCAGCCCAACCGCTTTAGGCCGGTATGTCCACTCTCGTAGTTTATATGTGACTCTTGCCCCAGCCACGTGCTGTCTCCCCATCCTTCACTTCTTTGATTTTGCTTCTGTCACTGTCGGTGACTGGGACGCATATTCTAAAAAGTGCTTCTCTGATGTAATGCGTATTGACACTGGCGTGACGGTAGTGTTCACTGCAAGCTTTTGTATAACAGCTTGCGTGACATCTCACCTCAGAGTGTCCCCCCCCCCCCCACAGCGCCACCCTTTTGCAATACTGCCCCCCTCCCTATCTAGACACATGGGCACATTTACTTAGAACTGCACGATATATATTGTCATCTGGCTACGATCTTACGACCTCTGTGTTTTGTGTACTCTTGAATCTTTATAAATCTCATGGCATAAGATTTATGGGGCGTTTGTTCTTAACTCGTTAAACCATCAAGATGCTGTTCTTACGTTGAGTAATTAGAGGAATGGAATTTAACGGCCCTGCCGCTCCCGGATTTGAACGGGCAAGGTTTTATTTCAGTTCTGGGGAAAAAAAAGGAATAAAATCACGACAAGTTTCCATTCTCTAGAATGGAGTTGGAATGGGATGAAGATGCCTACTCCGCAACACTGAAACTAACCCATCAACCCGTATTTAAATACACGTAGCTGTATATCATAAGCGCTCATCAAGTACGGCGTCCACAAAGAAGTCTTTCGAGAAGATTTTTTTTCTTCTTCTGAAGGTGCATTTCAGGCCATGGTCCAAGTAATTTCTTTATTATAAGGGAGCCTCTGTCCACTCTTCCTAGTTTCTTCCTTCCTTTTTAGCTTTCGTTTGCGCATTTTACGCTTTTCAAAAGAATATAATATTACCACAGTATGGAATTCCAGGAAGCTGGAGCGGAGTAAACTTAGCGCGCGAAGCTATTTTCATGTCCTGCTTCCAGCCGAAGTCTGTGAAATAACGTCTCGATGGGCCGTGGAAGATCTGCCACTATTAAGAACTTCCTGTGGGGATCAACTTCATAAATTGATGAGGGCTTTGATTTAAGGCAATGAAATCGCTTCTTCATGAAGTAGTGGTTTGGTCCTTGCGTTATAATATTTCAAATATCCGCCCAGACATAGGAATTGTGCAGTACCATCCTTAATTTTAGGCTTTCTTGACGACCAGGCGTGCCCCTTTATTAACCTTTATTCCAATGCGACAGGGTATCCATTAAAATACGTTGTTGTGACCCTGCGCTGAGGCATACTCTACAGTTTCTGCGATACATTGTGCCATGTCGCCCTTACTCTACAGTGATCTCTCGCATCTATGATAATAGTGAAGGGTGGGTTAGCTATCCATGCATAATACCCGCTGTTCTATTCCAAAATTGGGGAAGATTAAAAATGACAGTGAGCAAAGTAACACCATCAAGTGCTGATATCATTCGTTACATTTTATCTTCTTTATAGTTACAATCCGTGCAGAAAAAAATCGCATTCAAGACGGAATAGTTGTGGCCCATATCAGCTGTCACGCTGATTTTTCGCAATCATCATACAGCTCTAGGGCCCGGGTTATGGACTGATGACGTTCAAAGCGACCAGACTCTGTGTACGCTTACGACAGAGAGTACGTCTTTTGTTTTCTGTGATTTACCTCGCTCTTTCCCCTATTACATCGAGCTAAAATTTCATGTGGGAAAATCTTGTACTTGTTGGTTAAGTATTGCCGAGCGCACGCATACATTATGACTGATACCGCAATATTTAAAGCTATAGTAGCTGACCTTGTTCAGTAATATAAATGACTTCCGACTAGCATGCAAGCAGCTTGAAGTTCATTTTGTATTATTTTGGGATATATAGACAAACGATATGAGTGATATCGACACTTTTATGCTTAGAAAATAAAATGTCTTTAACGAGTTTGTGTGCTGATTTTACAATGCTGCATTATGTGTATAATTTTAGATGACATTTTGCTCGTTAGCAACAGTACGGAAAGCCAAAATGTTGCCCTATACCTATTTACCTTGATAAAAGTTCGCAGAAAGGTTCCCCAGGAAGGCTTTCTCGAAGTTACTTTGGAAATTCGAGCTGACAAAAACCATATAAATTTTGAAGAGACTGACGTATTCGTCTTTCGAACGACTATGTGTACAAAGGAATACTGGCACTCAATTTGACGCTCCCGTTTTTTTTATCCGTCCGCCCTTAGGTGAATACACTGTGCCTAGGGGATCCGTTGCTGTCGCCGCTATCTACTTCCTACAGCGACATCCCAGGTACCATGAAAACCCGGATGTGTTTCTGCCGGAACGATTTTTAAACACCATGGAAGAAAATCCTTTTTTGTACATTCCATTCTCCGGTGGCTTTAGGAGCTGCATTGGTGAGTGATATAAGAAAAAAAAATCTAGAATAAAAATTCGCTGATTATGAGTGATAACATTATTATGATAATATAATAACGGCTTTTTAAAATAACTGTTGTACTCTACTGTCATATACCATATTAACGCGTTATTTTAAAGACAATTTTTTGTTTTCCGTTGTCAGTAATACGCAACAACACCTTTTTTGTTGATTAATAAATGCTTCTGTTTTGAACTATTTATTCTTATTGTACTCATTTGCTTATAGGCGTTAAATTGTTATATAACTGTTTTTTTATTTATCACAGCTCGCTAACTTCATTTTGCATATTTTTAGCTATTTTGTACGCTACTCAATACTCCTTGCTACTGCAATACCCTTAAGTACGCACGAATTATAACTGGTCCTAGGGTCCTGCACAGATTTTCACATTTTAACCTTCTGACACTGGGTATAATATATAAAACCGTCTGCGCTCGTGCTCAGGGACAAAAACGCCACTTCACAATATTTAGTATAACGATGGCCTGTGCAATCACTCAAAACAACTGTCTAATGTCGCTACAAATGTGTTCGCAAACAGTAACATTGGCTCTGATATAAGCGTTAGAGTCGAAACAACGCTGATATGAACTAAATAAATACGATGGGAACAAAGGTACGTGCACTTCTTGGCCTCCTATCAATTGCCCCGTTTCCATCCGTGAGTACTGCACATACGTTAAAAGCAAGAAGTTTGAGATAGATTAGAAAAATTTAAAAGAGAGGCACATCAAGATCACTCAGTATGTATTTGCTTTACATCTGGAAGCCCTGGGCCTATATGGTTTTCACTTTATATTTTTCAAGCAATCAACTCAGAAACTGAGGCCTCGTAATGATATCATGACTAACAACGTAGCGGAATCCTTACCTACAGCCAAAGCCTTTGCTGAACTTCCTCTTTGGCATGCTCACTGTATGTGCATGAATTCGACATTATTTGCAAAAACAATGAAATACGTTTGTTTGAGTTTCATGAAATCACACCGAAATAGCATAGGATTTCGTGCAAAAATATACCATACCTAATCAGCATTTTTTTTCTCTGGGCAGGTCGAAGGTTTGCCGATTTGGAAGATAAGATTCTGATAACCCAGATCATGCGTCGTTATACAATAACCTCCAAGCTTCGGATGGATCAGCTGCAGCTTTCCTTCGAACTTGTGCTCAAAGCCATTCAAGGCCTTGAAATCAAGATTCGCCCACGTGACAAAACAATGAAAGAGCGGACGTCGCATGCGGAAGGTTATTTATAAGAAGGCTTCAACCCTAAGCGCGATTCGTTTGTCCTAACAAAAATGTATTTAGACAGTAGACTGGCTTCATGCGTCGTGCCTGTAGACTGGGTTCTTGCAGACCAATTTGTCCTTTTATAAATATATATTTGTATAAATAAAAGCCATTCACAATCTATATGTAAAAGTTTAAAAGTTGCATGTTACTTTTTTGTCTAATTGTACTCTATAGAATGTCTGTAAATAAAATGAATGAATGAATAAACTTTATTTGAAGTCCCAAGATTCCCTTTAGGCGAGGCGAGGGGAAGAGGAAATTAACCCCTCTCCCACCCACCTTTCGTCGATGATGATAGTAATGCGTCACGTGACAGCTAGAAGTCCATGGGCCCCGCCCCGGTGGTCTAGTGGCTAAGGTACTCGGCTGCTGACCCGCTGGTCACGGGATGAATCCCGGCTGCAGCGGCTGCATTTACCATGGAAGCGAAAATGCTGTAGGCCCATGCGCTCAGATTCGGGTGCAAGTTAAAGAACCCCAGGTGGTCAAAATTACGGCCTCTCTCATAATCATATGGTGGTTTTGGGACGTTAAACTCCACATATCAATGAATAAATCGAAGTCCATGGACCCGGGCAGCGTCTTCGATTTACGGGAGGACCCAACGCTGGTAGTCTACCTTGTCGCTCGTCAGTGCTGCCTTTCAGCGGCAACGATGCCAAGATGTTTAATTTTATTTGTCTAAGCTTAATCCATAGGAAGACTGTAAACAAATGCCGAAACTTTTTCTTGTTACTACTGTTTGTCTAGTCTCAAGCTATTCATAAAGAATGTCTCATTGTTTCTTTGTGTTGTTTTTGATACCTAATCTATAGACTGTGTAAGGCTGTGGTTAAGGTGGATTTATTTCATTTCCTTTTTCCTTTATGATGTTTTCATTGAACCTGTAGCCGACATGTGTGCATTTCACACAATTTATCTACCTTTTCTTTTACCTTCTATCAAGCACTCTTACTCAATGTGCTATCTGGCCTTGTGTGCTGTATCAAACAAAGGGGCTGATTTGATTGAGCCAGTATACTACAGGTAGGGCGGACAGGTGCGGTGTAAAACTTCGTGAGAAGTTTGTATGATGTGCGCCTCCTTGTGCACTATTGCTATGTGTCACTGAACTCTTACATCAACTTCCGAGAACATGATTGTATGTCAGGGTTGCCAACCGTGTGGTAATTACCGTACTTGGATATTTTTTGGAATTCTCTGGGGAGCGTCGGGTAGTAGGGCGGTAGTGTGATTTTATTATCAGGCGTTGGATAACTTCCCCTTTTCGCTCATCATCGATCAGCAAAGAATGTGGACGATCGACACGACTTAATACACCCTAAAATTGACATTTTTTTTATGTAAACTGGAACTGTAATAATTCTCATGTCAGCCGCTAACCGCAGATGCGAAAAATAATACGTCAATCTTTCGACGGTGAGGTGACCAATTCAATCATCGCAGAACACGAAAAAGTAAAAAAAACTGCTAAATCCCCCGTAGAGTGGTAATCAATAATATGTGAAGCAGGAATGAGGAAGGTTGAATTATCACATTAAAATCGACACAACTTTACGAGGCAAACGTAAATTATACCGTACATCACTTCCATGTCGTGATATTATCATGTTTGCGCCTGGCATTTGTGCTCGTCGTCTATTCACGCCACACAATACCAAACTTGGTATATGTGAAGCTAGCGAAACAGCCCGCGAGTCGTCATGAGCGTGGTATGTCATCATGTTCTTACATTACACGAATATCATGATTATCATGTTTGCACCAGTCATACACCTTCTTTGTCCACTCACGTCACGTAACGCCAAATTTGGTATATGTGAAGCTAGCGAAACGATCGCAAGCGCACTATGAGCGTATCATGTAGTCACGTTTTACATGACACGCATGTCATGATTATCATATTTGGATGTGTCATTTATTTTCGTCATCCATTCGCGTCCCATAATAGGAAATGTGGTATGAGAAACTAGCAAAGCTGCCGCGAGCGCATATGTACTCATGTTCTTACATGGCATGCATGTCATGATTGTCATGTTTGCTCCAGTCATATACCTTCATCATCCATTCACGTCACGTAATACCAAGTTTTGTGTATATGAAGCTAGCGAAATGACCGCGAGCGCATCATGAGCATGGCATGTAGTAATGTTCTTATGACACGCATGTCATGATTTCTACGGGAGGGCCTGTCACCTATGTTCGCCATGCAATACGTCATACCATACTAGTTTTGCAATATGTCATGTGAACGAAACCACTGCATAAGCAGCACGACCAGAACATGTATATATTGACATTCATGACATACATGTCATGATATACATATTATGACTAGCCACTTATGCTCGTCATACACTTATGTTATGCTATACCAATTCTGGTATTGATGGCTTCATTCAAACGGCCAGGAGAGCTTAAAATTGTAGACGGATAGATAGATAGATAGATAGATAGATAGATAGATAGATAGATAGATAGATAGATAGATAGATAGATAGATAGATAGATAGATACTGTCAAACTCGCTGAAGTTCGCATTTCTTAGCGAAGTCTTGCGTGTGGAGAGTGAACAAAACGTTTATTTGATGTTCTGCGCGAGAAAATTGGTGAATTGTATTCTGGGAGCGCTGAGTTAGAGAGCCTCGATCCGTGCAGCCAAGGCTAACGAGCGTATCGAGGCACGCTAGACACGAGCGCCATCTGGCTGTTATCTTCGAAAACGAAGGAATGCGTGTGCGCTCGCAGAGAAAGATGCGTGCCTGTCTCGGAGGCGATAAGGAGTAGAATGCAAAGTGACGGACAGGCGCCACCACTGTGTCGTCTTAGCAAGGCGTTGGAAACGCTTGAATTTTCGAGCATCGGGTTGCATTGTCAGCGCAGCGTGATAAACGCTACGGTGCTTAGAATGACTTGTGTGTGCCTTCTGCAGTATAAAGGCACACATACAAAACATCCACGTGTTGTTATTGTGCCTCAGATATGCGAAATAATTGTTTTTAATTGACAGTCGCACAAGTATGAACGCTGAAACTTGAGCAGTATTGGTGGGTGCTGCAGATGGGGTTAGCCGTTTCAGGTATCGTTTGGTCACTGTGATTCCACAAGGGAGATTGTTACCGCGGACAAACACACAAATGCATAGGCAGACAGGCAGACCAAAATTTTGGCCTCGAAAGTCCTTAAGGAAGACTATCGTCTTTAAAAGATCACTCGCCTTCCAGTGATCTGAAGGAAGGCCGCAAGGGATCATGCGAGTTACTTTGATGACAGTGGATAGGTGCATGAATGAGTGCACCCTTCTGAGGAGGTGGTTACCTGCACTTCACTAAGCTCAATATATTATTATTATTATTATTATTATTATTATTATTATTATTATTATTATTATTATTATTATAACATTAGGGCATAATCTAGTTCAGAATAATTCACGCTTTTGGTTTTCATTCCATAGAAAACTTCTATTCACAACCCTTCTTCCTCAGCCTGAGCGTAGGTGAACGTGTGTTTACCGGCTTTTTTTTTATTGGCTGCTCCCAGCTGATCTCATCGCTGATCTCCCAGTCGTTTTTTACTTACTTCTATCGCCGACCTGTTTACCCTTTCTATGTTGTTTCTAAATCCCAAGGGTTCATGTAAAATAGTGCCCAAAAGGGCACCCGGGGTGAGGTCTTCACAATCAATGAAACAAGGTCCACCGTTTTCTTACATAGCCCGCGTATGTGCATTTCTCCTATTGACTGGACGTACCTCTATAACTTTGCGTACTAAGGCAATCTGACCTCGTTTCAAACAGCAAGACACATCCCCGTGAATCATCATAAAGCATGCCCTAACTGATTCTGTCTTTACCCTTTCGGTGGTTACCCAGAGCCGCCTTTTTTTCCCTTACTGCTATCCGATATATCTTGTTCACCACTCCGGTGTTTCATTTAAAGCTCTTTGTCACCATATCGCTTACACTGCCAGCGTGTACTTGTTGGTGAGTATCCTAGTTATGTTTCTCAACTGTCAGTCAACCTTCTTCCCATACAAATACCGGAAAGCTTGCTCGTCATGTATCTTATGTCTATCGTGTTCGTTATTCTGTCTTTGAAATTTTTTTTCAGACCAATTTTCAATGAAAGTACTGACTTCTACACCACTACACGTCTGCATGTGGTACTGCATGTGGTCAGCCCTTTTCGTGGCGAGAACTACATTGGCCGTATTCTCGCCGTTTCGCTGTGGCTGGTGGCCGCACCGCGAGCTGAGCCGTTGCCTATCAACTACCCCAGCTGGAAGCGTGCGGTGCCTCGATGTGGGCGCGCCTCCGCTTCCACTGTGGAGACGCTTTTTGAAAGACTCTGCGCCGACTGGCGGCCATATTGTTTCAAACGTGTCGCACGGCGTGCAGAGGCTAGCGCGGGAATGGTGGTGTAAACACGTTGTTCTTGACGTTATGATATCCGTTCTTACACAGCTATGACAGTATGACAGGGTTCTGTGTGCCACTGTGTACTAGTTACCACGCGAAAGGTTAGCAGATGTTTCGCTTTCCTCGTAAAAGCAAGCGCAGAACAAAATTGGAAGCACAAGTGAAACGCGACCGCTGGCATCCGACCGACAGCACCAAGACATGTGAGGTTATTTGTAGACTTGTCCAGCATGTAGACATGCATTTTTTAATCTCTGGCAGTGAGCATGCGCTTAAAGAAATCCTTGCCTTCTCACTATAGCTGCATCACGTAATCACCACGTGAAGCTTTCTTTACAAAGAGGATATTAAGCGTTGTGTTAAGCCGTGCTTAGTGAACACATGTTACGGTTATCTTGCCAAAAACTTAGATATGCATGGCTAAGACACGTTAATCATACATCTTGTTAAATAAGCATAGTTAAAACAATCAACACTAAATGATACATATCAATACTGTTTGGTACTCCTTGATACCAACTGGGCCACCGGATTAAACCAGGGTATGCCTAAAAAAGCCAAGTTAGGCCAGTATATCGTGTCCCTATTGAGTTTGGACAAGCTAATTTAACGCTAGTCGATACCAATCTATACTGATAGATACCTGTCAAGTTGGATTAGGCAAGATTGGTGCCCATTATGTCGGACCACGCTAATCCAGTGCAAGATGAGATGGCATAGCCATGATGTAGATTACACCCGACTATGCTATGTTCTTTCAGATTAAGCATGAATAAATAGCTCCGGGTCAAACTAATCCTGA